GGATCTTAGACACTATGTTTGTCAGGCTGATTCCTCTGTGGTTATCACAAGAGGACTTCTCGCCTTTCTTGAAGACTGGGATGATGAGTGACTTAGACCAGTCGGAGGGGATCGTATTTGATTCCCATATACTGGCTAACACTTCCGTTAGCCTGACTAAGAGAACTCTACCACCATTCTTGTATACCTCAGCAGGTAGTCCGTCTGGTCCTGCTGCCCTTCCCGTTTCAGGCTACCTACCGCTTTCTCAACTTCTTCTAGTGTTGGGGGACCTGTCTCTATGTCCCATTCAGGGTCCGACTGGATAGCGGGCAGCGCAATGGTGGCTGGAGGCCAGTTAAACTGTTCCTCAAAGTGTTCTGCCCATCGTCCCAGTCGCCTTCCCTGCGAGTGAATCGCCGATCCGTCCTTCTCCGCTATAACCTCACTAACTGTTGTTGACCATTTCCCCCCAGTCTCCTTAATAAGTCTAAATAACTGTCTACTGTTACCGATCGCCGCTGCCTTTTCCATCTCTTTAGCCTTTGCTGCCCACCACTGTTCACGATCGTTGCGCAGACTTTTCGTCAGTTTATTTTTAAGTTGCGCTCGCTCTTCATTGTACTCAGAGCCTGCAGGGATGCATTCACGTGCATCCATTAGTTTGGAAGAAGCTGCTGATATCCACTGGCTCTTTTTAGCCATTATCTTGGAGTCGGCTACAGTCTCCAGTGCTGCTTTTACAGTAGACTGAAGATGGCACCAAGCTTCTTCTGGATGAGTGACAGTCTTTTGTTCCGATAACTGCCTAGCCAACTTCTCACTGAACACGGCTTTGGTGTTTTCGTTGTCCAGCAGAACTCGTAGTGGTTTTGTTGCCAAATTTTTTCTACGTCCATTGAGACGCAGGCATATACGTGCTCGGACCAACGCATGATCGCTGTCCAAACACGTACTCCAGAAGGAGCGGCAGTCTTCCACCGATCCTCTCCAGCGATGACTAATAGCAATGTGGTCTATCTGTGTCCATCGCTGAGTCGAGCTCGGTGGACGCCAGGTCAGACAGTGCCTTTCTTTATGTCTGAAATTTGTGCTGGCTAAAAATAGGCGGTTATCTGAGCATAGTTGTAATAGGCGATCACCGTTATCTGTACGTTCAGCTGGGATTCCGAAAGTGCCACCTAAGTGCCTTTCTGCCTCACTCAGTCTACCCACCTGTGCGTTGAGGTCACCTGCAACAACCACTACGTCCGAACGTTTGGCTTTCGAGAGGAGGTTAGACAGTTTATGGTAGAACTCGTCCTTCACTTCATCCGAACTACAGTCAGTGGGTGCGTAAGCAGAGATTACAAAGAGACAACGGCGAGTCTCACTATTCCTTTTAGTTCTCACTGTGCCGTTCAGCCTCATAGCGCAGAGGCGACTATCAACTGGGATCCAGTCTAGTAGTGAGTTTTCTGCCCTGGTGCTTAATGCTATACCTACACCTGCAAGACCACGAGAGCTAGCTATCGAATCTCCAGAAACTCGAAGGGTGAATTTTGCAGATTCACCAGATTGGTCAGGAGAGGTCAGGTGAATAACCACACTTGGGTCCTGTATGCGTGTCTCACAAACACAGCACACATCCATGCCTCGAGTTGCTAGAGTCTTTGCCAACGAAGCCTGTTGGCCAATTTGACGGAGGGTGCGGACATTGAAGGCTCCAATATGTAATTTGGAGCGTGGTTTAAGGAGACCAGGGATGCTGTTCTGTGGACTCAGATCGTTGTCGAAGGCTGCAGAGGTAGGAGAAATTGAAGATGATGCAGCATCATTAATTAAGAGACGTGAAGGAAGATTAGAAGGTAATGATGGAGGAGGAGGATAGCAGTCAGAAGAAACTTGGGTGCTGACAGAGTTGTGAGGGCGGTTGACACTTCCCGGCTGCCCACACCGTGGAAGGCTATTTCTTCTTAAGGTACCTGAAAGAGATTTGTGTGACCGCAGAGCCCATCGGACATCTGCTTGAGGCCTGTCACACCCAGCCTTTTGAGTATGATTATTTTGAATTTTTGTATTTTTGGGGCCGGATGGTCGAAAGGAAACGACAAGTGAACCAACACCGCCGGCCCGGCAGACCGTGGGGCGTGGTGGAGTGTGTTATTTTTGGGGCCGACCTTTTCTAACCCCCCCTTCCACTGAGAAGGCAGCATCAGCTTGGCACTGCTGGTCATCCAAGGGAAACACCTTACTGCTGTCACACCCCATCCAGCTAGCAGCAGTACGACTTCGCCCTCAGACCCCCATCATAGTGTAGCAATTTACACTATAACGGTAACTGCTTTTCGTCTAACCACTACCCAACAGACCTTTCTGGTATGGTAGGACCTCGAGGGAACAAGCGTTCCACCAGCATAGCTCGTTGGGTCATTGTGATATGCAAGCCCGACCACCACGTCAAGGTAGCAGCTATCGGTCGGGGTCTGAGTTATATAAATTCTACGAACAATTCTATTTGTATTAAATAATCTACCCTGTTATCATAATCATAGGTTTGAAACAGAAATAAACGTGAACAATGTTGTTTTCAATCAGCTTCTCATCACGCTTTATATACGTGAATTTTATCACATTAAACCAATTATCGTGAATTCTTTAGTATGTGGTAGCAAGGGAATTTATTGTTTGTCCTTTGGGTTCCTAGTGGTGAGAGTTAATTGAACACAATATTGTTTGCTTATATATCTTCTTATAATTTTGACAATGGGAGTTTTTTAACATTCTATAATCATAAGTTCCTAAGTCATCATCACTGTTATTATTATTATTATTATTATCATCATCATCGTGGAGTTGTGGCTCAGTGGTTTGCAGAGATGACTTACAACCATTAGGTTCCGGTTTTGAGCCCCGATCCACCTACGGGGTTCGGGCAACCACGTAGTACCAATAATCCTCACAGAATAAGTGTGGCTCGCTGCCTATTGCACGTATGTGCACAGGGTGGCTGAGTCTGGTCAACATTGTTATTATTTTTGAGGGAACCTGAAGGTCGCGGGTTCGATCCCTGGCGGGGTCGTGGGTGCGCACTGCTGAGGAGTCCCATACTAGGACGAAACAGCTGTCCAGTGCTCCCAGGTTTCCTTTGTTCCTCCAACTGATGTCAGTCTACGATGAATAACAATTGTTATTATTATTATTATAAAGTGTTTCCTCATGGAATATAACTTTCTAAATATTATGTGTATACGTAGAGCTTGAAAACGAATTTGTTGGGAAGAATCTCTTTGCTGAATAGCTTGTTTCGAATGAGAAGTGTAAATTTCTATTACAGTTTCATTCCATCAAATTTTGTGTGCATACCGACATAAGTTGCACACAAATTGGTTGGAAAATGTATTAGTTGAAATGCAACAACTTTCTGAAATAACTGAACAAAGTTGGTATGCTACTACGCTGTCTGTACATATGATCAGTCTTTATGAAGCCCACAGACTTTCTTAGGCTTTGAAAGGTCATCTCACAATGGTATTTATTACCAGAAAACCATGCTTCTCCGGAGTTCTGTAAACTCATGAGGATAAAATCTAGAACCTAAAGTCTATTGCATTGAAATATTTCCACGGTTTACTCAGCTGCACAGTACAGCTATCTCAAAACTTTTGTCTACGTATTAAAATTGCATCATGGATTCCATAAATGCTTGGTGTGAAGCATGTGAACTTGAAGTGATGCACTTCTGTGCCGAGCTCCACGCTGATTTATTTGTCTATTCTATGAACATTAACTTGTGACCTATTTCAGTAATATGTTAAGAGGTTCTGTTATGATCTGCGGTATATATAACGATATAATGCTCCGACGCGTTACGACTGAAGATAGAACAACGACCTATCAACACGATATTCAGCTGACACCAGAAGAAGAAGACAATGAGATTGAAAGTATATTTATTTCAACCGAATGGTCCTTATAGCTGGAAATTCAGTCGTTTATATACCCATAGATGACTTTGGGGCTATAGCATATTAAAAGTGTAAAATGAACTAATCAGCGTTCAGTATCCTGAACCTCGGTAAAAGTAAGTAACATTGTATGGTCCAAAAAGAGGGCGAAAGTAAGGTTTACATTGTACAATCATAATATAAACATATTATGAGTTAGTTTTTCTTAGGGGTTAGGCATATCTAACAGGTTCGTCTTTCATTTACGCTTATGAAACTTTCACACTCGACTGGTGTTTTTTAAAGTCATGTAGATATATTTCCCCATCCTCAATTACTTAGCCCCACTGTTTCTCCCTATGTATGTGACCAAACACACATGTAAACACAGTGGGATATGACGTAATCACTGATGCAATGTTTAGGTTTGTGGAGAAGCAAGTATTTTGTCTTTTCCAAAATGATAAGACTAGCTGCATGGTATGTTTTCCTAATGACATGTTAAGTTACGTCTCAAATATATGCTGTTCAACTCCCTTATACATGGTAGAGTGATATGGACGCTTTTCTTAGTAACCGTGTATGGAGTTGGCTTCGGTGCTGCCTGACTTCTACAATGGTTTATAAACTTCAACGGATACTCGTTTTCCATAAGTGTTTTGGTCAGTAATTCGTCATCTTTATCCATCGTATCTGATGTACAGATACGACAGATCCGATTAAATATGCATTTTATTACACCTCCCTTGTGTTGGATCACATAAAACTGTGAAAATCAAGATGTTGTACCGTCCATGTAGGCTTTCTGTAAACTGACCGTCTTGTTGAAGCATCTTCCCATCGACTCAAGAGTACGACTAAGAGTGGCAAATGATTATTCTCTTTTTCAGAAGTCAGTATGATATGAGTTCATATGATGTTGAGTCTTTTTAGTACACAAACCATATCCTCGTGTTTCTCAAAATTATTGTTCAAATAGCTTTGAAAGTTTTATATAGAAACATTCAAGTATAGGTTTGATTTTCTCATTTAAACTAGCAATACATTAAAAATAACTGGTGATCATTATTTTTTTGAAAAGAAATGAACAATTACCTTCAGGGGCTGGTGTAGAAGGTGGTGTTATTAGCACTGAACCACAGAATTCATTAAAACAAGACTTATTGACCAGTTTTTTGCTTCTCACTTTACAACTTCTTTCGGCTTGTTCATTACAATTTTGATTAGTACTGGACAAAGATACATCATCCGAACTGTCTTCAGTGACTGAATAATGAAAAGTGCCTGAATTATGAAAAACAGATGAGACCAGTGTGTGGAAGAATATCTACACAATAAAGTAATTTAGGAGCTCTTAGTAGAACGTTTATTACATTCTGTACGCAAATAAAGACTTCATAGAAGTTACAACTTGTAATACACTTTTCATCTATAAACAACTTCCACTTATCAGTTAACTAGATCACGAAACAAAATTAATTCAATCAATTAAGATTAGGAGATTCTATTTTACACTATATCAATGCAGCCTCTGTAATCTACTGTACATACACTGAGTAAATTAATTCTAAGTGGAATAGTTTGATCATTTTATTTCAGTCAATTCATGACATAACATCAAAATGTTTACAAAGATGGCGCTAAATTAAGTCAACCAAAGGGTAAAACACTTTTGAGGTTACTTAGTTACAAGTGCATACTTTATATGAAACTTTACTCATTGGATTATACACCCTACTTTCAATCACTGGGTCATCACTTAGATCACCGTCTTATTTGTCAATGTTTACGTAATCAGTTGGTTGTATAAGCCTAACATAATTGATGTGTTCACTAGACAGACAAAATCAGCGTAAAACCTAGCACACAAGTGCATCGCTTCAAGTTACCACACTTCAGAGTAGTATACTAACAACAGGCGGATGAAAAAAAAATTGCTAACAAAGTAGATAAAGTTGTGTGAGAGAATAAGTAATCTGAAGATAACGCCTAGTGCAAATATTCAAGCTTCAGAAGATGTCAAAGAGTGAATACATTTGCGCATTGTGACTGACTGATTTACAGTCATGCCACTGAGTCCTCAACCACTGATTCCTATCGTCTCGGTGACCCCAACCAGGTAGTCTACATCTCTGGCACCAGAGAACCCTGGGGCGAGGAGTGTGCTGTTTTGGGGGTTGATCTTTCTTAGTCCCACCCTTCCATAGCGAAAACAGTATCAGTGAAGCACTGCTGATCACCCAGGGAAAACACTTTGCTACTCTCATTACTACATCCAGTCACCGATACCTGCTACATTGACATGATGCTCAGGTTTGCTTATCACAATGACCCGAAGAGCTACACTATCTGGAACGCTGGTTCCCTAGAGGTCGTATCATGTCAGAAACGTCTGCTGGATATTGGTTAAGCCTAAAGCAGTTATCGATATAGTGTAAACTCCTACGCTATGATGGCGATTATGAGGGCGAAGTCATGCTGATGATGGGATGGGGGGGTGACAGGAATAAGGTGTTCTTCTTAGATGACCACCAGTGTCATATTGATGGTGCCTACCCAATAGGAAGAAAGGGTTAGAAAAGGTTTGCCCAAAAATAGCACTGTCGTCCCCGCGTCGGACACTAATGCCTTCGATACGGATTCATGGTCGGACTGCAAAGAAAAAAGTGAATTTCTCGGCCTTGCAAAATGGTCATGTGTGACCGACCTCAAGCAAATGTCGCATGAGCTATGCGGTCACACACTGTTTCTTCTTGTTCGGGTGCCTCAAGAAGAACCAGCCTTCCATGGTGTTGTGAGCAGGGAAGTGTCAACCGCCCGCACGCTTCCAGTGAAACAAAACCTATCCACCTGAACTCTGTATCCTTCTTTGCCTTCACCTCCCGATACCAATAGTAGGCCTCACACTACACTCGACGTCTCATGCTGTGACGATTGCCAACGACTAAAGCCATCGAAACCTTATTCCTAGCCTCCTAAAAACTCGCAGTCGATTTCATGTACGAGTTTTCAACGTCCGAACTCAACTGTAAGTGCGCGGACCAATGACACTTCCTGGCTGTCCACAGAGCGACAGGCTATTCCTGAAAAAGATTTTTGATACTACAAGGCCCATGGAACGCCTGCTTGAGACCTGTAACGCAGCCTTTTGCTTGTTTCAACACCGGATAGAAAAAAGCTATACCGCCAGCACAGGAAGACCGTAGGGAAGGGAGGTGGGTGCTATTTTTTGGGGCAACATTTCCTAGTTGAACCCCCTTTCTATCAGGAAGGTAGCATCAGTCTGACACTGCTGTTCATCCAAGGTAAATACCTTACTGCCCTCACACTAGTCAGCCAGCATTACGACACTATACCAGTAAATACTTTTCGTCTTACCACTGTCCAAATAACCTTCCTGGCATGACAGGACCTCGATTCTGTATCTCTGAGATACATACAAGACCCAAGTGTGGTTATTAAACTGACCTCACCCGGCTGTTTTGGTGAGTCTTCAAATATCACCGTATGAGCATCCCAAGACCTAACGGCCAACTCTCGCGAACTTGCTAGTGTAGGCATAGCCTTGAGTTGTAGAGCAGAATGACTCACTTCCCAACTGGATACCAGTCAACAGTCGTATATGTGCTGTTGGAAAGAATGGATCTATACGGACTAGGAAGGATCGTCAAGGCAACCGACTGATATTCGTCATATCCGCTTTCGCACCCTCCGACTGCTATTCATCATATTCGATTTCGCACCCTCCGACTGCAGTTTCAATGATGAAAAGGACGAATTCTATGCGAAGCTGTCAACTTTGCTACAGCAAGTAAATTGTTCAGACCTAGCCAATATAAAAGACTACTTTAGGGTCTAAGTAGGAAAACCGAACCAACCCGAAAGGGACCGTCAATTATAAACGGAATCCCATACTAACAAACCGACAACACTGATTGTCTGCTGCAATTCTGTCACGACAATCACCTGTTTCCAACCAGCACTAACTTTAAGTATATGGAGAGACACCCTCACATGGCATCCGTCAACACCAAACCAACGATGAACACACGGTGGGGACGCCTACAACCTCCCAGGACAGGTGGCTACAACATTGGGTAGAATACTATGAAGTAAAACTCAACTTGCTCTTCGCAACGCTTCACTTGCTATAGGTTCGGCCTAAACCTCAATAGGGTGTAAGTGTCAGTCCACCATCTCTCTTCGAAAATGAAAAGGCTGCATCGAAGCCTAAAACTATGGGAAGCAAGCAGCAGGACCTGATAGTTTGTCACCTGAAGTTTTCAGGGATGGAGCCAGAAAATTAATGCTTAAACTGATGGACGTACTAGGTAGTGAATAGGTATTAGAAATAATCATACAAAAATGCTACGTGTAACAGGCCTCAAGCACATGTCCAATGGGCTCGGCGGTCACACAAATCTCTTTCACCTACCTTAAGAAGAAATAGCCTTCCACGGTGTGGGCAGCCGGGAAGTGTCAACCACCCTCACAACTCCATCAGCACTCAAGTCTCCTCAGACTGCTATCCACCTCCTCCATCATTACCTTCTAATCTTCCTTCACGTCTCTCAATTAACAATACCACATCATCTTCGATTTCTCCTACCTCTGCAGCCTTCCACAACGACCTGGGTTCACAGAACAGCATCACTGGTCTCCTTAAACCACGATCCAAATTACACATTGAAACCATCAGTGTCTGCACCCTCCGTCAAATCGGTCAACAGGCTTCGTTGGCAAAGACTCTAGCAACTCGGCCCATGGATGTGTGCTGTGTTTGTCAGACACGCATACAGGATCCAAGTGCAGTCATTCACCTGGCCTCTCCCGACTAGTTTGGTGAATCCGCAAAATTCACCCTTCGAGTTTCTGCAGATTCGATAGCTAGCTCCCGCAGTCTTGCAGGTGTAGGCATAGCATTAATCACTAGGGCAGAAAACTCACTACTAGACTGGATCCCAGTTGATAGTCGCCTCTGCCTTATCCGACTGAATAGCACAGTGAGAACTAAAATAAATAGTGAGACTCACCCTTGTCTCTTTGTAATCTCTACTTACACACCCACTGACTGCAGTTCAGATGAAGTGAAGGACGAGTTCTATCGTAAACTGTCTAGCCTCCTCTCGAAAGTCAAACGTTCGGACGTGGTGGTTGTTGCAGGTGACTTCAATGCACAGGTGGGTAGATTGATTGAGGCAGAAAGGCACTTAGGGGGCACTTTCGGAACCCCACCCCGGCTGGATGTACACATAACGGTGGTCGCCTACTACAACTGTCTGCAGATAACTGCCTACCTTTAGCTAGCACAAATAGTGGCTAAAAAGAGCCAGTCGATATCAGCAGCTTCTTTCGAATTAATGGATGCACCTGAACACATCCCTACAGGCTCTGAGTACAATGAAGAGCGAGCACAACTTAAAAGTAGATTGAGAAAAAGTCTGCGCAACGACTGCGAACAGTGGTGGTGGGCAGCAAAGACTAAAGAGATGGAAAAGGCAGCGACGATTGGTAACAGTAAACAGTTATTTAGACTTATTAGGCAGGTCAACAACAGTTAGTGAGGCTATAGCGGAGAAAGACGGATCTGCGATTCACTTCCAGGGGAGACGACTGCAACGATAGACAGAACACTTCGAGGAACAGTTTTACTGGCCTCCAGCCACCATTGCGTTGCCCACTATCCAGTCAGATCCTCAGTGGAACATTGAGATAGACCCCCCAACACTTGCAGAAGTCGAGAAAGCAGTAGGTAACCTGAAACGAGGAAGGGCGGCAGGAACAGATGAACTAACTCCAGAGGTATACAAGGATGCTGGTAAGGTGCTTTTAGTCAGGTCAACGGAAGTCTTAGCTAGTATATGGGAGTCAAATACGATTCCCTCTGACTGGTCTAAATCACTGATTATCTCAGTCTTCAAGAAAGGCAACAAGTCCTCTTGTGATAACTACAAAGGAATCAGCCTCACGAACATCGTGTCCAAAATCCTGGGTTCTATAATTCTTCAACGCCTGCGTGGAACTCGAGAACAGCAAGCCCGAGAAAACCAGGCAGGATTTAGACCCGGCCGCACATGTGTCGACCAAATATTCACACTGCACCAGGCTCTGAAGCACAGACACGCTTACGGACACCCGATACTAGCTGTATTTCTCGACCTGAAGGCGGAATTCCACTCGGCCGATCGAGAAGTCTTACGCCAATGTCTCTCACTGAAAGGCGTGCCCAGTGAGTACATCACCTTATTGAAGGCTCTCTACTCGAACACTCGTGGGCGTGTTACAGCCTATGGTGAGATGTCCAGGGAGCTATGCTCATCGAGTGGTGTCCGTCAAGGGCGCCCACTGTCTCCATTCTTATTCAATTTTATCATACATATTATTATGGAGGTCTCCCTCTCGTCACCAGGTTACACAGATGTTGACCTAATCACAGGAGAATTTTCCTTAGACCTAGAATATGCAGATGACATAGTCCTGTTAGGTGAAGACGACGACAAGATGCAGAGTCTTCTGAACACTTTGAGAATGTCCATTTGAGAATGTTTGGGATGCGTTTCTAACCACCACCACCACCACCACCACCAAATGCAGATTGTTGCTCCAGGATTGGTCTTCAATGATGCCTCGGCTAACAATAGAGAGTGAAGTGGTTGAGTGTGTTGACCACTTCACCTAACTGGGGAAGTGGGGTCAGCCCTGCACTGGTGGGTCAGTGGCCGATCAAATCTCTGCACGAATACAAAAGGCTCGACCGGCTTTCGCCAACTTACACCACCTATGTCGCAGCCGTGATATCCGATTATATATTAAGCGTGGCGTGAACTGCACAGCAGTCAACTCTCTTCTACTGTATGGTTGTGAAACATGACCATTGAAGGTGGAAGACATGAGAAGACTTCAGGTGTTTGACTACCGTTGCCTTCGTAGTATAGGCCGTATTCCATGGTGCCACCACGTGAGCAATGTAGAAGTCAGGTATAGAGTATTAGGGAGAAGAGGTAAACCAGTTGACGAGGTTATGAACCTTCATCGACTGAGATGGTTGGGACACGTATTACGTATGCCTAGTCACCGATTGCCTCGTCACGCAGTGTTTGCCGAAGTAGGTCCTGGCTGGAAAAAGGCCCGAGCTGGCCAAACTAAAACATGGCACCAATGTATGAAGTATTTGACTGTTGGTTTGAGCTATGTGGGGCGATGCAGACTAGGTGGTTGAAGTCCGCGGAACAAGAGGAACCAGTGGCTGGAGACTCTAAGAGATATGGTTCAGAACCGATGTCAGTGGCGCATATGTACCCCCATACACATTATGCTCATCTTAACACCATACCGATTCTCACCATTTTGTCACTCTTCCTTTCTTTCTTCTCGTACTTTATATTTCTTTTGACTGAATTTCCTTATTTTCATCTTTCACCTCACTACCCTTTCACTTGATGTAGTGATATGAGCTGTGGCAACTCGGACCATTACGCAGTAATGCCATGTTTTAGTCTGGTCACCCCGAGCCGTTTCCAGCCTGAACCTACTTTGGCCAACACTGTGCAACAACGCAGACGGTGGCTAGCCATGAGTAACACATGTCCCAACCATCTCAGTCGATCAAGGTTCACAACCATGTCAACTGACATTCCTTTCCTCTCTGGAACTCTACACATGATTTCTGAGTTACTCATCTGGTGACAACACGAAACACTGTCTATGCTACGAAAGTAACGGTGGTCAAACACCTGAAGCCTACTTTGAATGGCCATGTTTCATATCCATTGAGTAGAATAGAGCGGACTCCAGCACAGTACACTCGACCCCTTATAGACAATCGGATATCGTGGTGGCGCTAGGTAACGTAGGTTGACAAAACGTAACCCAGCCTTTTGTGTCCGCGCAGAAATTTCGTCGACCACTGAGCCAGCAAGACTGGTCCGACCTTCCAGGCTATGAGTGAAGTGTTCAACGTGCTCAACCATTTCACTCTCTGTCGTTAGCCAGGGTATCGTTGAAAACCAATTCTGGAGCAATAGTTTGCATTTGGGTGGCCAGAGACGCGTCCTAAACATTCTCAAATTTCCACTCGAGATAATCAGAAAACTCTGCATCTTGTCAGTGTCTTCACCTAACAGGACTGTGTCACTTGAGTATTGTAGGTCAACCGAAAATTCTCCTGTGATTAGGTCAACCCCTGTGTAGTCACACGATGAGAGGGAGACCTTTAATAAGAACGTCTATGATAAAGTTGAATACAAATGGAGAGTGAGCATTATCGACAGACACCACTCGATGTACACAGCTCACCCGACATCTCACCATAGGCTGTAACACACCCACAGGTGTTTGAGTAAAGAGCCTTTAGTAAGGTGATGCACTGGTCTGATGCTCGTTTCAGTGAAAGACAGAAGGATATTCAAGGAAGGCAATTACTTGAAAACTTTGTAGTTCGTACCAACTGAGGTAACTTGAACACGTGTCACGTATGCTGAGCCACTGCCTACCTGAACCTGCAATGCTAACAGAAGCTGGATAGGATTGGAAGAAGGCTCAAGGTTACCAGACCAAGACGTAGTACTGGTTCATTACGTCTTCGACCACCTGCGTCAGTTGTGTGGGCTGTCTACAGTGTCCTCAATACAGCGGGGGTCGATGGCTGGAAGTTCTCGGTGACGGCTTAAAATATGTCACAATGGAAGACGTCTTCTCAAGCTTGAACATCATAACCAACCTTAATTTTAAAGTTTTTCCTCCTCCCATAAAATATTGTTCACTTTGATGTCACTTGTTCCCATCAACTTGATTTTCGCACGTTGTTGTGAAGTGTGGCAACTTGAACCGATGCACTTCTGTGCGAGGTTCGACAAACACACACACACACACACACACATTATCCTCATATTAACGATGCTATACCGAATCTCACCATTTTCTCATTCTTCCTTTCTTTTTTTGCGTACATTACATTTCTTTTGACAGAATTTTCTTATATTCATCTTCCACTTGACTGGCTTTTCACCTGATGTAGTCATATGAGGTGTGGCAACTCGGACCGTTACGCAGTAATGCCTGGTCCTATGTTGATAGTGGTGGTGGTGTATTAGTGTCTTCAGACTGATTTACTTCACTGATCATCCAAGTCTGTAAGAAGTGAGAGAAATCTTTTTGTGACAACCATCTGGGATTTTTGTTTGACAAGTAATGTGTCCAAGATCCCAGGGATCATAGTTATCATACGCCTAACTAGAGCTGAAGAAAGCCAAACTCGAGAAAATCAGGTAGGTTTCAGGCGGATTTGAACGACGGTCCATCGATCATTCTTCTCCCTACAACACGTTCTGGAACACGGACATACCCATCAGCTAGTAGCCGACACTTGCCAAATTTCCTGACCTGAAGGCGCCATTCTGCTCTGTCGAACGTGAGGTGTAACAGCAGTGTCTGACTGTGAGATGTATACTCAGAAAGTACATACTGCTAATCAATGCTCACTACTCGAAACCACGTAGCTATGCAACGGCTCATAGAGAGTTATCATGTGAACTGACGACAACTAGTGATGTTCTCCAGAGATATTCACTCTCACTGTTCATCATATCTATCTGCATAATGCACATAAGCTCAGGTACCTGTGACTTCACAGGGATTGATTTGGAGTATGATTGACTTGGAGTATGCAGGCAGTGTTGTCCTATCAGGTGAAGACACTGACATAACACAGTCTTCTGGACGCGTTAAGCGGGAGTCTAAGTATGTCTGTCTTGCATGCGTCTCGCACCTGTCAAGTGTAAGATGATCCTCTAGGATTGGTCTGCAGGTATACCCAGTGTAATAGTAAAGAGTGAAATGGTGTTATGCGTCGACCACTCTGCGTATCAGCTCAAATATGGTGGTTGCTGAAGAAATCTCCGCTTGGAGAAAGAAGGTCCGATCGGCATTTGCCAACTTGCATTACCTGTTGTACTGACTGGCAAGATAAACGACTACTTATCAAAGGACGAGTATACTGCGCTCCGTTCTGTTATGTATTATTATACAGCTGTGAGGCACTGACGTTTAAAGTAGGAGATGTGAAGCGGTTACGGGGTTTTGATCATAGGTGTCATCGCAGCATTGCTCGTGTTTGGTGGAATCACACCACCATATGAGCAATGTTGAGGTCAGGTAATGGATACTGGCCAAGTCATCTGACTAGTTTGCGAACGTTCGTTGGTTGAGGTGGGTGGGATGTGTTTCCCTTTCTCCAACTGCCGCCTACCTTGGCAGGCGGTGTTACGGTAAATTGGATTAGGTTGGAAGACAGTTTAGGGTGGCCAGACCAAGACGTGGCACCAATCGATGAAATCTTTCACTGTCGGCCTGAGCTGTGTTGAGAATGCAGACTATCTGGTTGGTATCCCCGAGACGAAAAGAGTCGGTGGTTGAGGACTGTTGGTGAAATGGCTAAAAATCGGCCACAGTGGTGCAGATGTATCACTTTTTAACATCTTCTAAGGCTTGAACACTTGCATTAAACTTTATCTTCAAATTGCTTATTCACTCACACTACTTAGTCTACTATGATATCACCTTTTATTCACATATTCCTTGGGTGCTACGGTGAAATGTGGCAACTTGGAGCGATGTACTTGCAAGTGAGGTTCAACGTTAGTTTTTTCTGTCGCTTAATATCTAATAAAGCGATTCACAAGTAAAATTATCTTCATAATAGCTTAACACTATAGGAGTTAGCACATACATGTAATCATTGTATCCCCTTCAAATATTACACAAACTTACTTTGTGACCGTGTGAGGCTTCTCTCTGCTGTTGATACATTGTTTTCAGAACCTGGCAATTTGTTGCCATATTGCCTCAGAGAGTACCAGGTTATGAAAAGTGATGACAATTTGAGCAGATGTTGTTGCATATTTGCAAGGGTACACGTTTTTTCATCATCATCATCATGATTGTGAGCTTGGGTAGTTATAATGCTGATGTTCTTATTCTATGGATTATTTCAAGAAATTAGTCGAGTTAGGCGTTTACTTTTTAGGAGAAACTATGTGAATTGAAAGATCAAATGCGAAATACTTCAAAATAATAAGGACATCTTTTTTTAAAAGCATATTCCAACAAGTCTAACCGAACAAAATTTAATTGCAAACTCCAATGACAGTTCACCAATCTAACTTTATGGTTTAGAAAAGTAGCTGTGAACCAGCTCACTCTAGCAATTTAAGTCGATGCAAAATGTCAGCTGTCTCATACCTTACCTAAAGCAAATGAATACTTGTTATGCAGTGGAAATATTAGCATATGAATTAATCCTAATGAAAATTAATACAACAAACCATGGTAATTATTAATAGGGTTGAATCCAATTTTAAAAAACAAGCCGGCTATACAAATCCAAGCAAATCGGTAGTTTGGAAGTACAAACAGTGCATATATTACCTCATTCTTATTGACAGCAGCGATTAACAAACCTTTTCGATGTTAACAGCTACTTTTCACATCGGAGTAGTAATTAAGAATCATTTAGTGAACTGTATATTTATTTGCAGAAAATCAATGGTCATATTTATACTGATTAATAATTTCTCTGCATTATGTCAATGCGTACAAATATTTCGAAATGGAGGTATTGTTACTTGATCACTATCATCTTTGAAGCATATGTGACGTCCTATGGTTGCACAGTTACTAGCTTTGGGTCAGTAAATTGGATCACTAGATGAAGTTAGTTGAATACAGCTGAGATGGTCAGACATCTGTCTGACTAGACTGGTAGTACTCAACATAAGAGAGGTAAATGTAGAAGACGGTCAGTATAATTGGAGAAAGTTCCGAAATTCTCTGGAAGAAATGCCCTCCGATTGGATGAAAAGTTATTGACTTGAATAACCGATAACCGAATTACGGAAAAACAGTATTTATAATAATCTAATCGTATAAGACTGTCGTTATTCCATCAGTGCTGTCCATAACATTGGCGACTTTTAAGTAATGTAGACGTCTATGAACCTGCTTTTCTGCATGCTACAGGCCATAGTTTCGTTTTCAAAATTACTCAACAACACCGGTTTTGTGTGGTTCGTTACTTATACTGGTCTAGTGGCTTATAACGGAAATTGTTGACAGTGGTGGACAAGATGTGATACTCACCTATTGCGAAGGATAATTACGTTAGATTTGGGCATCAGAATTTCAAATCTTAGCAATTACACAACTTAGTTGGTTCGTGATGTTGCATGAGATAGACTTTGATCAGTAACTGCTTCAAGTGCTTTAGTTTCCTCTCATTGGCTGCGCAAAAATACAGAATTAAACAACAAAAGAGAGGGAAATGAAATTGTTCTTAAAGATACAACTACTTGGACTAGTTTCTTCATGCATGTTAATGCTAGAATAAAATTATTATTATTTGTCCCTCTGGCTCCTAGTGCTGGATCATAGAAATTCAGTAGCACGTCACCATTTCACTGTCTGCAGTCTTTTGAACCTGGCCCCACGACTGTCCAGAAGCTTTCATTTTTTCCCTCACACCATCTCCCCCATGTCATCCTCACCTCCGACGCCCAACTCGTCGTTTCCCACACAGGTCCCACTCGACGGCCTGGCCTGGCGCGTGATATCCCCAGTCTATGTCCAATCCAATCCATCTCCACTTTCCTCTTCTGCATATTTGTTGGGCGATAGGTTGTTGGTCGGTTGGTTCGTTGCCAGCCAGCCAGCCAGAGTGAGTTTCCTGTTGCTTATTATTTATGGCCTTCTGATCTGATCTGATCTTGAGTATCGAGTGAGCGTAGGTGGCAGCTGTTGATGTACGATGTCTGTAGTTTGTAGGTTGTAGGAGATGCTTTTCGTAACGCGACAAGTCTTTTAACCATCACATAGAAGCACTGACTTGACTGACTTCGTGTTGAAAATCCGGATCTAGTTCACGTTGTATGCTGAGTGGATTTCAGCGCAGTGTAGTAGATCTCCACACTAGTTTCAGATTGATGAAGACCTGTCTTGCTGTCTTTGACTTCCTCATCTGTGCCTGGGTCGCCTGTAGTTGAAACCATGCTGCCCAGGTAATTAGGTAGGTAGGTGAAAGAGATAACTTTGTTTAGATTTCTCCCGTTGATGGTGATTGGTGCTTCTTGTTGTTGTTGTTGTTGTTGCTGTGTTGGTTGGGTATCTTCATCACCTCTGTCTTCTCTACATTCACCTGAAGGGAGTCCCGTCTTCGCTGCCCTGTCTCTTATGCCAACTTCTTGGTTTCCGCCTGTAGATCTTCGAGTTTGTCCGGCAAGGCACTAGACATAAATCATCATCAGTGGCGAAATCCAAATCGTGTAGGGTCTTTTCATCGGTCAAGTCAGCGTATGTCCTTCTTTTCACTCCTCACAGTTTGTTGCATGATCCAGTCTAGCCAAGTCGACCACGATCAGGAAGATGATCGGTGATAGTAGGCGGCAACCTTGTCTTTACTTCACAGGCATCACTGAGCTTCCCCTTGTGAATCACTTCACATCTGGCGTCTTCATATAACTGTTGAATGAGGTTGATAAAGGTGTGTGGCACTAAAACCGCAGTGTTGAAGCACTTGCCAAATTAATTCTCGGTCAATGCTGTCGAAAGCCTTTTCAAAGTGGATGAAGTTGAGGTAGAGAGTTGACTGCCATTCTATGCTCTGTTCTGTGATGATGAGTAGCGTTGCAATTTGGTCCGCACATGATTTGTTCTTCCAGAAGCCAGCCAACCTGTTTCGGTCGTAACTGAATCCGGAGCATCTTTTAGTCTCTCCAGAATGATGCGGTATGATAATTTGCCTGGGGTGGAAAGGAGCATGATTCGTCGCCAGTTCTTGCAAAGACTTAAGTCACCCTTCTTTGAAGGTTTGACAAGGTAGTCCTTCTTCCAATCAATCGGCAGATAACTTTCCTTCCTTCCTTGCAAACCTCCTGCAATAGTGGTGTGAGCGTGCCCGCTGTTGACTCTGCGTCTGTTTTCAGTGCTTCTGGCGGAATTCCATCTGGTCCTGCTGCTTTCCAGATTTCAGCAAATTTATGGCATCCAAGACTTCAGCTTTTGTCGGAGGGCTTGTGTTCACTAATAATAATGTGGCTGCTGGTAGCATTTCAAAGACGAGTTTCAGGTGGTGATGGTGGTAGTCGATTCAAGAGTTTTTTGAAATGGTCAGCCCATCGTTTTCTTTGTTTCTCCTCTTTGGTAACTAGGTTTCCTTCACTATCTTTCACTGGTCTCATCTGCGTTGATCTCTTCCTAGATAGTTATTTGAAATGTTGTCAGGTCTCTGTTTCTCTTTCCTGCAGCCTGTTCTGCTTCACTTGCTAATGTGTCGTAGAAGTGTCTTTTGTTTTCACGCGCACTCTTCTTCACTTCTTTGTCCAGTGTAGTGTTGCATATGTTGTACTCAGTTCCTCATTTCGTTGTTCATCCCTGCAATGCACTGGTTCATCTTCTGTTTCACTATCATCCTCTCTCTACTCTATCAGCTTCCATGTATCCGTCAAGATCCATTCCTTGTCTTGTCTTGTTTCTTCTTCCTTCCTAATACGGTTACGCAGGTTTCTTTCCACATCTCTTTCAAAAAGTCCCAATGTTCTTCCACGTCCGACCTTCAGCGATGTTGCTCAATGTCTCCCATTTTGTTCTGATGGCTGACGTGAAGATGTCCTTCGTAGTTTAGTCCTTCAGTTCACTTTCTGCGTGTTGAACTTGGACTGTAGTCGTCTATCACCAACTTCTTTGGAAGCCTTCAACTTGATTTGAAGGTTCCTTGCAGTAGATAGTGAGTGGTGTGCACCTACATCTGCTCTCCTTCTTCATGTGATCTTGTATCCAGTAGGCTGCGTCTCCACTTTCTTCACATTGAGATGAAGTCGATCCGATTTTCAGTGTATTGTGTCCATCTGGTGAAATCCATGTCGCTCACTTTGTGAATATCCTTGTGTTTGTAGACACTGCCTCGCCTCCAATCACCAAACCGTTGAATGCGCAGAAGTCTGCAAACAGTTCTCCATTCTCATCCATCATTTCATCGAGTGCTTCTCGACCCATGATGGATGAGTTCTCTTCCTGTGTTGTCTGCTCCGAGTTTGGCATTCATGTCACCCCACCCATTAGAATGAATCTGATGTCGCCAACTGGGGTGGGGTCTTGTCCATTACTGATTTCATTTGTCTATAAAATTCCTCCTTCTCTTCATCTGAATTATTTGTAGGCGCGTAGCGTAGTATTGTATGATTGTGACTTTCTTTCCTTTTGAGTTGAATCTTGATGTCATGATCCTGCAGGGGGAGATTGGTTCCCACTGCATGAGAACCTTCGATGCTGTTGGGGACATCATGATAGCCGTTCCCCCAGTGTGCTCGTGGTTGTCGTCTGGGTGACAGTATCGGAGAAGATTATTGACTCTGCAGTTGACAGTTTGGAGAGTCCACTTCCATTCCATTTGCTTTCGCAGATTCCTGTCACTTCTATGATATACCTTCCTGCTTCTTTTGCAATCTAGGCAGCCTTGTTAGATGTAAACAACATTGTGTGTACATTCCTTGTCCCCATGTTTATTTTTGCTTTCACCGAGAGAAGACATATCGTCCAGTTGGCTTCCCAAAGGTTTTCACCAACTGGCGTCACTTCGCCTCTCCGATTCCAGTGAGGAATAAGTTTTTTCTATTTTTTTTAATTTTCTTTGTGCTTTAAAGTTTTTTAGCGATTGGATTGGTTTTACAGGATAGGGTTGCTAGCCCTATGCCCAACCTTCCCTCTTTATCCGTGCTTAGGACCGGCTAGTAACTAGTGAACTAGTTACCTAGGCGAGGTTGCTACTACGAAATACATTTTAATGTGGATGGATGTTTGTGACTAAAGTTGGTCCGTATAAGTCTGGAAAACGTATACGTTCTTCGCCAAAACAATCGGTTGTACGTCATGTATTAGATTATGGTGGTCAAAATAAAGCACTACTTAATGTGATCGTAATCAAAACAGTAGCACACCACGTGGATAAACATCATTTTGGCTAAGTAAGGGGTTAAACATCAGATTAGATTATACTTGTAAATCGAACTACAATTTGCGTCCAAAAACGTTATACACCCCCACTAAGAAAAATGAATGATATTGTAGATACAGTTTAGCTCACAACTAATGGGCCTAATACGAAGTTTCTGGATAAATTCTCAAATCATTGTTGTATACGGTACTTCAATGAGAATAACATACCATATTTACGCTAATCTTTTGGAGATCCTCAAAAGATCAGGTAAAATCAATTTGTATAACTTCACCGGAAGTAGAACAATGAATACTAAATATAACTTAAAACCATATATGTGAATAGGAACAACCAGCATCTGAAAGAAATCTTTAAATGATAAAGAAATCTCAAAAGTGATGGACATTATGTAGAAACAGTTCGTTAGTTGAAATGCTTCAAAGATATTCAAGGGGAATTTCAGTTGTCAAAAAAAGCATTGATTAGTAGCAAGATATAGTTTGATCAACAGTCCATCAAAAACAGGTTGTTCTGAGTAGCGCTTAATTCACACTTGCATTAGAAAAAAAATTATTCACACTCTTCCATGAATGAATATCATAATCTAATGAACTAGTTTTTAGCATGTATTGGTATTTTTGACTAACAATTGTGGCTATCTTCTTCTATATACAGTTAGGATTCAAGAAAGAAGACAAAAGCTTATCTTTTTTTATTTTTATACTGAGTGGTGATTGAAGGTGAAATGAATATCTGGACCACAACAGAATTCAGACCAACGACCTTTAGGTCAACCGATAGATTTTTGTTTAGTATATCATCTTCACGTTGATTAGAAACTCGTAATTTACTCAATTGGTATCAATGTAGTTATTATTAGTTAAAAATTTCTCAAAATAAAGCATTTTGCATAAACTTTACCTCATAATCTCTTTGAATATTTTGAATAATTTGTATGATGTTACTTTGATCGCAAGCATTTCTGTACAAAGTTATGAATGAATTTGCGTCCATTTGATATGGTGAAACATTTTTATAATTTTCATTTGTTTTACTCATTTCTTGTAGAATTAACTTCTTCAATTCTAATAAATCTAAGTTTTCACTTTCAACTACTTTTGGAAAAATTATTTACAGTTTACCTCATCGATGAAGTATCTTCATGTGAGTCTTCAATAATTCTATTTTGTGAAGTCTAGGTCAATAAACATATAGATAACAAGATATAAAACTAACCAATGGAGAGGGGTGAGCAAGCTGAATGCATTCCAATAATTTGTCACAATAAACCCTCAGTTTATTACAGTAATCAATCCAACTGTATGCATGTTTAGAGGCAGTACACTAAAATGACGAAATCGATAACAGAAAGGATTCAATACAGATATATATATATATATATATATATATATATATATATATATATATATATATATATATATATATATATATATATAGGATTATTCAACAATTTACATTAGGAATTCATTCCTATGATGCTACACGTCTAGGGGTTAATGGATAACATTTGTATCTGCTTGGCGTTTGTAAACATAATTAGAAGTATCCCTTTGATTAGATAAACTTGTGTAGGATGGTTTAGACAGTCGTCCATTATGATAACACCTTAACTCATTGGTTCGGCTCTTAAATAAGTGCACAAATTTACGAAGTCATAAGGAAACGACTAATCTGAAATTAATGTACGTTATTAATCAAAGATTTACGGATGGGATGAGTTTAAGAGCTGCTTCTCCACTAGCTTACTTCAAAAACGATGATTTATGCTCCTGCAAACGTATTCTTGCTTACACTTTCTATATTGTATATTGAGTTGTTAAGATGTCAAAAATTAGTGTACGCTTATAAGTATTCTAGAAATTGAACGGTAGTAAATGTTTCAAATTCGCTTATGAAATCTTAGAACAGGTAGATGCTATAACAGATAGACAGTATAGAAATCTAGTGCAGACAATTGTATTAGGCTGCGAATCAACTCTAAAGTATGAGGGCTTACATTACTACCAGATCGTCCAGGCCAAATTAGATGTAGCGAGCTTTTAAAACCCTTAACCCATTGGTTAAAGTTGAAATGCTTTAACCCCTGGGCCATACCTCTACGTCTGTTACAGATAGATTACATATATTTAGCGCGTTTTTCAAAGTGATTAGGTATCAGCTTGTAGCTTAAGTGTAGTTTACAGTCATCTATATAGTCAACAGATAAACTACAGGGTTTTTAGATTGACGTATTATTTACGCTTAACAAACATTCACGGTTCGAATGAAAAGTACGTTAACAAACATTTCGTATCCTTTATTGTATCTTTCTCATGATTGGAACGTTGTCCAGTGTGCTAAGAATGCTATTTTTAACTGTAGTTTTAAAAAATAACTTTGTAATACTTTAGAAATAGAATTATGAACTAGCTTTGTGTTCATATACTAACTAATAACTTTAAAATCTATTTCATGCATGAAAAACAAGAATTCCTTCAAGATGCATAAATTTAACAGTCAAGAAAAACAATTAATTCATGAATTTCGCTAGTCAGTACATGAATACATTTATAACAATATGTTTGTCACTATAGTACATATGGTAATGGAACTGTCATAAATAATTCACCTACGATATATATCAGAATAATTGGTAAAGACCTTCATAAGACATACAAATAGGACTCAATAACTCACTAGTATGTTGATTACCTGATTGAATAATCAATGGGAACTTCATCAGACCTACAGATTAAGTTCTGTCACTCTCCACAGTTCGTTCTGAAGCTTTTAGTAAAGTGTGGAATATTCTCAAAAGTACTACAACAGTTAAGTGGATGGGTGGGAATTTGAAATGAATTATCCAGCTACCTATCAAGGGAACAATATAGTGCTCTACAGCCCGCTTTGTCCAAGTATGCGGAGGTGACAAATCGATGCTGAAGGTAGATATGAAAAGATTACGTGGCTTTGACTACTATTGTCCTACAGAAGTTGATTTCACCTGATGAAATTGCCGTGGACGATATCGAGTTTAGGAGAAAGATATTCATCTTTACCATCAAGATAAACACAAAAGCAACCAAGTCGCCACATTGCATATCGACACATCAAGTAAAAAGGCAATAAAATAGAAGACAAAGGAAGGAAGAAAAACAAGTCAAAAGAAGAAAGTACATAAAGGAGAGGAAGGAGAAAATGACGATTAAGTATGGTGTTTAAGGTGAAGATAATGTATGTATAAGTCTGTGACACCGACATCGGTTCTGAGTCATCATCATCATCATTATCATAATAGGACCAGGCATTACTGCGTAACGGTCCGAGTTGCCACACCTCATATCAGCACATCAAGTAAAAAGGTAGTGAGGTGAAGGATGAAGATAAGTGAATGCAGTCAAAAGAAATATAAAGTATGAGAAGAAAGGAAAGAGGAGTGACAAAATAGTGAGATTCGGTATAGCGTTGTTAAGATGAGGATAATGTGTGTATACATCTGCGCCACTGACTTCGGTTCTGAGCCATATCACCTAGGGTCTCCAACCACTGGTTCCTCTTGTCCCGTGGACCCCAACCACCTAGTCTGCATCGTCCTACATGGCTTAAACCAACAGTCAGAGACTTCATACATTGGTGCCATGTTTTAGTCTGGCCACCTCGGGCCTTTTTCCAGCCTGAACCCACCTCAGCCAACATTGTGTGACGAGGCAATCGGTGACTAGGCATACGTAGTACGTGTCCCAACCATCTCAGTCGATGAAGGTTCACAACCTCGTCGACTGACTTACCTCTTCTCCCCAAAACTCTACACCTAACTTCTGCATTACTCACATGGTGACACCACGGAATACGTCCTATACTACGAAGGCAACGGTGGTCAAACACCTGAACCTTTTTGTATCTTCCACTTTCAATGGCCATGTTTCACAGCCATACAGTAGAACAGAGCGGACTGCTGTGCAGTACACGCGACCCTTAATAGACAAACGAATATCACGGCGGCGCCATAGGTGGCGCAAATTGGCAAAAGCCAATCGAGCCTTTTGTATCCGTGCAGAAATCTCATCGGCAACTAACCCACCGGGTTGATCCTACTTCCCAGGTAAGTGAAGTGGTCAACACACTCAACCACTTCACTCTCTATTGTTAACCGCGGTACCGCTGAAGACCAGTCCTGGAGCAAAAATTTGCATTTGGGTGGTGAAAATCGCATCCCAAACATTCTCACTCAAAGTGTTCAGAAGACTCTGCATCTTGTCAGCGTCTTCACCTAACAGGACTATGTCATCTGCATATTCTAGATCTAAGGAAAATTCACCTGTGATCCGGTCAACGTCTTTGTAATTAGGTGACGAGAGGGAAACCTCCATAAGAATATCTATGATAAAATTAAATAAGAATGGGGATAGTGGGCATCCTTGACGGACACCACTTGATGAGTATAGCTCCCTGGACAACTCACCATAGGCTCTAACATGCCCACAAGTGTTCGAGTAGAGAGCTTTCAATAAGGTGATGTACTTACTAGGCACGCCTTTCAGTGACAGACACTGCCATAAGACTTCTCGATCAACGGAGTCAAATGCCGCCTTCAGGTCGAGAAATACAGCTATTGTCGGGCGTCTGTAAGCATGCCTATGTTCCAGGACCTGGCGCAGTGTGAATATTTGGTCGATACATCCACGGCCAGGTCTAAAGCCTGCCTGGTTTTCTCGGGCTTGCTGTTCCCGAGCTCCACTCAGGCGTCGGAGAATTATAGAACTTAGGATCTTAGACACTATGTTTGTCAGGCTGATTCCTCTGTGGTTATCACAAGAGGACTTCTCGCCTTTCTTGAAGACTGGGATGATGAGTGACTTAGACCAGTCGGAGGGGATCGTATTTGATTCCCATATACTGGCTAACACTTCCGTTAGCCTGACTAAGAGAACTCTACCACCATTCTTGTATACCTCAGCAGGTAGTCCGTCTGGTCCTGCTGCCCTTCCCCGTTTCAGGCTACCTACCGCTTTCTCAACTTCTTCTAGTGTTGGGGGACCTGTCTCTATGTCCCATTCAGGGTCCGACTGGATAGCGGGCAGCGCAATGGTGGCTGGAGGCCAGTTAAACTGTTCCTCAAAGTGTTCTGCCCATCGTCCCAGTCGCCTTCCCTGCGAGTGAATCGCCGATCCGTCCTTCTCCGCTATAACCTCACTAACTGTTGTTGACCATTTCCCCCCAGTCTCCTTAATAAGTCTAAATAACTGTCTACTGTTACCGATCGCCGCTGCCTTTTCCATCTCTTTAGCCTTTGCTGCCCACCACTGTTCACGATCGTTGCGCAGACTTTTCGTCAGTTTATTTTTAAGTTGCGCTCGCTCTTCATTGTACTCAGAGCCTGCAGGGATGCATTCACGTGCATCCATTAGTTTGGAAGAAGCTGCTGATATCCACTGGCTCTTTTTAGCCATTATCTTGGAGTCGGCTACAGTCTCCAGTGCTGCTTTTACAGTAGACTGAAGATGGCACCAAGCTTCTTCTGGATGAGTGACAGTCTTTTGTTCCGATAACTGCCTAGCCAACTTCTCACTGAACACGGCTTTGGTGTTTTCGTTGTCCAGCAGAACTCGTAGTGGTTTTGTTGCCAAATTTTTTCTACGTCCATTGAGACGCAGGCATATACGTGCTCGGACCAACGCATGATCGCTGTCCAAACACGTACTCCAGAAGGAGCGGCAGTCTTCCACCGATCCTCTCCAGCGATGACTAATAGCAATGTGGTCTATCTGTGTCCATCGCTGAGTCGAGCTCGGTGGACGCCAGGTCAGACAGTGCCTTTCTTTATGTCTGAAATTTGTGCTGGCTAAAAATAGGCGGTTATCTGAGCATAGTTGTAATAGGCGATCACCGTTATCTGTACGTTCAGCTGGGATTCCGAAAGTGCCACCTAAGTGCCTTTCTGCCTCACTCAGTCTACCCACCTGTGCGTTGAGGTCACCTGCAACAACCACTACGTCCGAACGTTTGGCTTTCGAGAGGAGGTTAGACAGTTTATGGTAGAACTCGTCCTTCACTTCATCCGAACTACAGTCAGTGGGTGCGTAAGCAGAGATTACAAAGAGACAACGGCGAGTCTCACTATTCCTTTTAGTTCTCACTGTGCCGTTCAGCCTCATAGCGCAGAGGCGACTATCAACTGGGATCCAGTCTAGTAGTGAGTTTTCTGCCCTGGTGCTTAATGCTATACCTACACCTGCAAGACCACGAGAGCTAGCTATCGAATCTCCAGAAACTCGAAGGGTGAATTTTGCAGATTCACCAGATTGGTCAGGTGAATAACCACACTTGGGTCCTGTATGCGTGTC